GGCAGCAGAGGTGGAACATGCTCCTTGCGAACGCGATACAAGACGTGGAACAGGTTGGTAACGTTCTCCTTATCATACAGCGAGGACAGCGGTGCTCTGTAGAGATGTTTAAAGTACTAAAGTGGACGTTTGTGTTTCTAACCAAAGTAGTATTTACCTCACCCTCCGTAACTCGAAAAACAAGTTAAAACTGTACAAAAGCAGCAGAACATCAGAGGTACTCGCAGGTTTCAGCTCACAGAGCTGTTTAATTTCCAGCACCCAGTGTTTAAACTGCAAACAGAAGCTCCTCACTGTGCTCCTCAGCCTGGGGGGGGGGTTCCTGCTGGAAACCCACCGAGTGCTGCTGTGCGGATGGATTTAGGGAGTAATTTGTCATCTCTGGGCACACTCCGAAGGAGGGAAGAGTCTGCTGGTCACTGGAGTGCCAGCAAATGGATGTTGTTCCGTGTACGTGGCAGCAATACCCAGTGGAGGGAAATGCCTTCTAGGGAATGGCTGGGCAGCACTTCCCAAGGGCCAGCGTCCCAAATCGTATTCCCAGTGTGGTGTCACCACACTGCTGAAGGGATTGAATCTGCATATTGGGAACAAGGACCTCTCAAGGACTCCAGATTTACCGTAACATCATAAACCAGGGAGCATCTTGAGTTCCTGGGCTGTATCCCCAGAGCGGGAGCGGGTTGAGGGAGAGGATTCTGCCCCTCTGCTGTGCTCTGGTGAGAAGTACCCAAAAGGCAAATCACATGAAGACAGTGACACGAATACTTTCCATCAATACTTCAAACTAATTACCTTCAACATCCTCGGCGCTGAATGACTTGCGCTCATTAACTCACGGACTGCGCCACAGGCACTTCACGCAGAAGCAGAACTCGGCTTCAAGATGCTGTTTGGAGCTCCACAGACCAGCGCCAGTTCATCGCCGGGCGGTGAATTCAGCAGCACCAGGACGGATCATTACACGTGGTGGGGGAAAAACTTTGTGCTGACAAGTCCAATTAATATTTCTACGATACAAAGTGATTTAGAGAGAGAAGGAGAGAATTCTATATTCAAACACTGCTCAATACTGAGGTCAAAGGACCAAGCTCATGCATTAACTTACGTACGATGAACCAGAAGCAGCAGTGATGAGAGCTCGTAAAAAAATTGGCAAGCGTAAAATGGAATGACTTTTACAAGAAGGTGCTGAAAGAATAGGATGTTAAATGAAGATACAGGGTTACCTACAATAAAATTGATCACTTGGGATCACTGCTGAAGGCTAAATTCCAATCGTCAGTGGCAACTGGCTCTTAAGACCAACTCCGAGCCAGCTGCAAGGGTACCACATGGTGGGGTGCAGCCCCACTCACCTTGCTGGAACAACACACCCCAAGGCAGCACTGAGTAACAACACTGACTGATAAAGGTGCTTTGCAGGGACATAAAATGCCAGTGACAGGTTTTCACCAATTCCCTCTCAGTTTATCACCTGAATATTACATGTTTTATCTAAAAATAGAATTTATCACCTGTTGGTACATGGCATTTAACTCAATTGATCAAATATGTTATTTCTAAGAAAGCACTGATGGACTTGCATGAGTTCTTTCAATTAATTTTATTGAGTAGCCAAATCTGATAAATTAGCACAGATAAAATAAGCATTTGCATGTGTTACAAATGACTTTTTACAGGAATAAAACAGTGAAAATTACAAACTGTAAAAAGGAGGACAAGTAAATCCTGTCTCAGATTCAGAAGGGGGAAGATTTATCACTTCATACTGAAGATCATATGTTTGAGTTCAGAAAACAAAGATTTAATATTACAGTATCATACACTACTTTACAAAATTAAATTTACTATAAGGATTACATCCGTAATAGTAAACAGAACCTTAAAATCACATTTAATGGTCCCTTACTTAACAGCCATTCTGTTTCTTTAATTAAATTCTGTTAAGAAATTAATTCTAAGTAAAAGTGAATCATTCTAGTTATTGCAACACAGTCTATGTGGACTCAGACTCAAATATATTAAATTAAAAATGAGAATGAAAGCAAAGTAAAATGGATGGTAAAAATGTTGGCTGAACACTAATGTGTCAAATACAGATAGAGTTTAAAAAGAAGTCTTCAACTAGAAAAATAGAGAACATTTGCAGTGGTAGAGTTGTCGTGCTGAGATCTTAACTACCAGAGCCACTCTTGCCTGTTTTGGCAGTTCATCTTCAGTGTCCTCATTTTTCAGTTGTAGGTGAAAACAACAAATCATAAGCAGTTTCTGTGTTCATCTGTCCTGCACTGCCCCTACAGCAATACAGGGTGACCCAGCAGGCTTTCCCACTGTGAGGGAATACACTGACAGAGCTCAACACTGCATTTCTTCCAAAGCAAAGAGGATTCGAACTGGTTCATCTGATTCTTGCCATGTTTTGCTGTGTAAAACTGAGGGACTCTAATTCAAAGCTGTTAATTGCCACCAAGACTGACAGCTTTAGCCACTAGTCTGGTGTGCGTAAAGCAACGAAGCCATCTCCAACATTTATGTCTTAAAAAATAAAAGTAAGGGCTATAGTAGCAAAATACAGTCACAGTAAGAGACAGACTTTGGGGGGTGCTGTTAAGAAGCAAGGATGATTTTCAACATCCGAGTGATAATATACCCAAACCACAAGTTTTAAGTCATAACCTATGCAAGTGCACAGCTTCCATTTATGACTTAAACAAAGAGACGCCTTTCCCCCAGCAAAAAAGTTAAATCAGACTGAAAACTTAAGAACCTCTTCACTATGACTTAGAAACTGTGCAATTCTCTGACAAGCTGTTCAAGTAAATATGCTCCTGTTTGAAGGGAGACAGCAGAAAGGGAAGCTTCAATTGATTCTCTAAGTCTTTTCATGCTACCTTAGACATTGGTCTGAAATTCAGCTTCTTGTGCTCAAATGACAAGAAGAACTTCCCTAAAGGAACTCCTCCCCTGAAGTAAGGCAACTGCTGACAACTACGTGTAGCTACAGCCTGAAATGGCAGCAAATGATTACCTACCATGTCCTTGGACATCTGTATCACAAATGTAAGTTAACTAACCTCATCACAGCGCATGTTTGGCCACTTACAAGCATTGCTACCTATTCAAGTTACTTGCCCCAGGAAGTAGGTTTTGCAAGTCCTTTTTCACAAACAAAAAAAGCAAACCAAGATTTTCCATATCAAATGCTTCCACAGGCATTGGGATACAGTAACTTAAATACTCTTTATGTTGGTAGCTATCAATGATAGCTAATCTCCACCACAGAACAATGATCAATGCAGTCTTAAAATGGTTTCAGTATTTCTGTATATAAATTTTCACTTCAAGGCCAATGTCACCTTCCGTCTGGAGCTCTGGCAGGGATCTGAGAGTATCTTTAAAGCTCTTATTGGGTGCACCCTGTCTTTGGACCTGGGCTCATTACACAGCTGCAGTAAAAAGAAAAATAAACTGAAAACTTCAAGTGTGTCTCAGACCATCAACTAATCTGCAATGTAAAATATTTTTGTCTTTGGAAAAAGAATGTCTGTTTGAATTTTAACCTCAAAATATTCAATGTTGTCTTAAAACATTGGGTTTGAAATGCTGTCACACAAACTTGCTTCAGAAACACACTAGATTCGAGGGGCTGAACATTCAGATAATGTAAACAAGAGCCCAAAGTCTACTAAACATAAGCCAAAAGGTCTGAGAGAACCTGCCTTGCCCTTCCCCTCCCGCCCCATTCACAAACTGAAATGACAACTGTTCCTTTCACTGAAGAAAAACATCTGCCACCTATGTCCACTTTTGCTGCTATCTCAGCCACTGACTTTAAGATGCTCTCATACAGGACCCGCTCCTCCCCACTCTTTTTTAATTAGAATACTGACTTATTAAAAGCTTTATCAAACTCAGCCACCTTGTCCAGGTTAAGCTCACCTTTAGTCCTGTTAGCCACAATCCCTGCATTCTACACTTCATAAGCATTTGTTCATTTCACAATGAACAGTTGTTTCATTGCTACTTTAAGTTTGAACACCGAGATGCTCTGTCTGTAATCACTGGATGCGCTTACAACAATTTCCCTGCAAATCATGACCAGTATTGTGAGGTTTTGTATCTAGCAGCAAAAAAAAAACAAAACAAAAAGAAAAAGGCAAAGAGTTACAGAAATATACATTTTGAACAACAAAGAACTCTTTATTTTACAAAATGTATTTCACCTTTTCAGTATTGCCTTTGTAAATATACTTCATGCTGCAACTACTTACAGTAAAAACATGATTTGCAGCAAATTAAAGGTGCTCAACCAGTTCCAACAGTTTGATTTTGTTTTTTTCTTAAGGTACAATATTATGTAGTTGCACATTTGATTCTCAGATGTGGTCCTTTATTTGCTTTAGTTTGTTGAAATCACAGTGAGAACTTCTCATCAACTGCCTCAGGCCACAGATTTAATGAAGATATTACAAGCACAATCGTTCTTTACTGCAAAATCTTTCCTTAAAGAAGTGAGCCAAAGGTTAGTGTTTCATTTATTCACTTGCTGCTGTATATGAAGGAGGAATTCATAGTATGATAAGGCTGATTCTGTTCTGTCTTCAATCATATTTTGCAGAAAACTTGATTTCAATGGACTGTCATCCCTTAAAAATGAAAATATAAGTGTTTGAGTGAAATAAACATGTGCCAAGATCACCAGTGCAATGCATTCGTAAAGTTACAGCTCGAGTGGGAAAGCTATTTCAAGAGCTTAAGGACATATGAAAAGAGCCTCTCAAATACCCTTGTCATTAATCCTAACAAGTGCACTTACAGCATTCACTTCATTATCTGACATTAAGTCAAGATTGTTCTGTGACATTTAGTCTTTTTCAGTCTGTGGCAATTCAAACTGGAGTCAACTCAGAACAAGTCATGTCCGTTGTCCAATCTGTTAGGCACAGCATGCACCATTTAAAACTTCCATTAAGAAAGTCCAGTATATGATACTGAAATACGTATTAAAAGAAACCTAAAGAAGCAGAAATACTGTTAAAAAAAATACTTACTTTATTATATATAGTATAGGGAAGAAAGGTCTCTGTTCTCTCAGCCAAGAAATGAAAGCTATTGTTCTGATGGATTCAGCAGTGTCTAGTTCTGGGAGATGTGTCTAAGAGGCAAAAGGAATCATTAGTACATAGAGGACAGGTTTCATAAGAACAGTGAAAGGACTCTCTCCATACTGAGTATAAAGGAAACCCAGACAGATACATTTTGTCTAGTATCATTTGAAAGGGCTTGAGACAGTCAAGCGCACTAAACTAGTACAGCAATATAGTAAACAGCAATTAGCTGTCAGAAGTGATGACTGAGCTGTGATCAATACCTGTTGCAGACACCAAAGGATTTCCCACTCACCCACTGTGCTTACTATTGGCAAGTGTTCTCAGACTGCTCCCACAAGTCTGAGAAACTTACTCACTGCCAGCCTCTTCTTAACTGTGCTTTCCTGGGAATAGCTATAAAGGTTTAGCCTGGAGAAACTCCAAGAGAGTTAACAGCAATTACTTCTTTTCCTGAATCTGGATTTATAGTGAATAATAACTAAAGGGCTAATATTTGAACTGTGGTATTTAAGTTTTCATGAAACTAATATTCTGGTGGCACTATTCCTGATGTATAGCAAGAAAAGCACGTACCATGTTCTGCGGTATTGAGCCATAATTGGGAACTCCAAGGACTTGGCTGATAAAGCTCTGCCCGCAGTTCTTCCCAATCCACAGAAACATTACCTGAAAGATACCCAGTGATAACAACATTAATCCAACACAAACCCACACCTCAGCAGTCTCCTCCACAGTCTGAGGCCTCAGAAAGAATGTGTCAAGTAAAATCCCCAACCACCACCCAACTTACAGAGCCAGCATCCATAAGGTAAGCACCATCCCTGCTCAACTTCTCCACTGACAGCTGGAGAAGGGGTGGCTGAGGTATAGTTCTGTCATTTATGTTAAGAGCCCCCTGAAGGAAAAGGCAGAAAGAAAAACAGTGGTTCACATCTTGAGGCATTGAAACAGGCACAAGAAGAGAAGGTTAAATAAGAATAGGACGTATTACACTGAATATGAAGCTATACCCTTTTTCTCAGTTCAAGTCATACTTTGAGTGCATAGTTTATTAGCAAGTCTCTTCATGATTTATTTAGAGAGGGTGTACTTCAACTTAAGGTTACTCTAGGACAGGAGCATCAGATTTGTGATGTACAAAAGATGTGATTTCTAAAAATACTCAGGCTCTTACATAGATATTCACTGTTCACAGAACTACTTTGATATTTTACAATAGAGGAAGCCACACAAGGACAAAAAGTTAAAGCATCTTATACTGTCTTTATGTACATGTGATTTATAGTGAAAAGACAATGATAGGGGACAAAAAGTGGAATAATTGAGGAGAAACCTTCCCCATCCATCCATAGCCAGAGCACAGCCTCTCTCCAGAACTCATCAGCCCAGTCCCAAATAACCAATGGTAAGATTTTTAGCACCAATTTACTTTCACATCATCCAAGTCTTTGGCATCAGACAAACAGACCGTGTAGTGATGCAGACACTCACCTCATCTGTGAGGTTATCGACTCTGTACAGGCTGGGATGTGTCATGAGCATGAGGTAAACAAGGGGCTGGTTCTTCACTTGACACATGGTAAAAATGCGTTCATCTAAACGAGTGCTCGTCCCGGTTTGAAACGCTTTCTGTGAACAATCAGGCATTTCATTTGACCATTAAAGCAAAGAGAGATAAGCAGGAACTTAGCACACCCTCTATTGTTCATATATAACTTATTTAAGTCTTAGAGATGAGCCATAAGTATTTTCTCCTGGATATGATATTTTAGCACTGCTATTTTACGTCTCCATAGTCCTTTCAAGTGTTTCACATACAGATCATACAGCTCTCCTTATTGCCATTGCTGGGTTCTAGAATCAACCATGACCTTGCACCACCAATCTTTTCTAGTGAGCACTACAGCTGAGATGAAAGTATCTTTGGAATATGTCTCTTAACACACACCTCAAAAGTGCTACTTGATGGAATTTAGAAGCATAAATATTGGAGCAGTTTACAATTGGCTTCTACATATGGACTGTTTGGTAATTCTGGATTTACAATAGAATCGTAGAATAGTTTGGGTTGGAAAGGACCTTAAGATCATCTAGTTCCAACTCCCCTGCAATGAGCAGGGACACCACACACTAAACTATGGCGCCCAGGGCGCTGTCCAGCCTGGCCTTGAACACTGCCAGGGATGGAGCATTCACAGCTTCCTTGGGCAACCTATTCCAGTGCCTCACCACCCTCACTGTGAAGAACTTCTTCCTTAGATCTAACCTAAACTTCCCCAGTTTAAGTTTAAAGCCATTCCCCCTTGTCCTACCACTAGAGTCCCTAATGAAGAGTCCCTCCCCAGCATCCTTGTAGGCCCCCTTCAGATATTGGAAGGCTGCTCTGAGGTCTCCACGCAGTCTTCCCTTCTCCAGGCTGAACAGCCCCAACTTTCTCAGCCTGTCTTCATATGGGAGGTGCTCCAGTCCTCTTATCATCCCCGTGGCCCTCCTCTGGACTTGCTCCAGCAGCTCCAAGATACAGTGCTACATGTTGGGACAAAAAAGTCCCGAACAGCTATAACTGAAACAAGGGCTCGCTCCTCCCTCTTCACTGGGTCAGACACTTACAAAGTCTTCTACATGAAGAAGTTCAAATATCAGTATGAACATGCTGCTTAATTCCTTATCAAGGGGCATGAATCAGAAAATTCTCTCTAGAACAGAAAGCTAGCATGTCCAACACTTAAAATGACCTTGAGTACCAGTTCAGGGAAATCCAATCAAAAACTACTTACATTGAGCAAATATTGTGAAAGGCTTTAAACCTTTTGCAAGAACAGGCAGCCAGCTGCCTCTCTGCCAGCCAGCTCTCTTGCTATCCACACTGAACTGCTGTGCAGGTCTACACTGCCAGAAACGCACAAGAATTATTACTGAACACACACTCTATCAGTGCCACGTTCCCTAACCTAATCAGTCTTTAATAGTTTCCTATTCCATTGCTTAAAACATTTATGCCATTGGTTTTATGCACACTTCTAAGCTCCTGCTTCTCAACTAGATCACTCTCCATAATGATAATCTTTAAACATCTCTATCCCCTATTGCCTTCTGCACGTAAGAGTAATGCCCTCTGTCCATTACTGTGATGTATTTGCTCCATAAAAATCTCCAAATCCCTCCATTTTTCATAACATAACAGAGTCCAATGTAAAAACACATGTTCGCCACCTGTAAAATCATAAGTTATCTACCCAGGCCTGAGAAACAATTAAATAGGCTTCGTTCTACATTGGCCTTTCAAGTCATTGAATTCTGGACTGCAGAGAAATGGAATTGTTATCTTGAGAAAGGCTGGTTCTATTAAATGATCTAAACCAAGCAACTTCCCAGTTTTGAGTCCTACAAAAATACAGAAAGAGAAGACACATGCTATTTTGTACACCAAAGAAATGTCCCGTTACTTCAGGTTGACATCAGTCATCCAGGATGCCAAACAATTATCCTCTTGCACAGCTTCCTTTCAACTCTTACCTGTTTTAGGAGTGCCAGTACATAAAGTGGGAAGAGCCGCAGTGAGGAGGGGGCTGTGAGACCAGGCTGTTGGATGCTCAGGACTGCTGAGCGATAAGCAGATAAAGAGTCTATCACTGCATTGACCAGAGCATCCCGAGCATCGCTCAATGTAGCGGAGACCGACCGGTCCACAGCTAAAAAGAGAGTACAGAGCTCACATAAGAGGCTTTCCTCCCTTGGTAGGAATAGTCACATGTGTTGTCTCTTCTCATTTTAACATGTACTTCCATGCATCTTCATAAGCTTTAATACACCATTGAGGAAGTCAAGACAAGTGATTCAGGAAAAAAAGCCAGGGATAATGCATCAGACTAAGACTAAGTACAGGTGACTACATCCAGCTATACTGACACCTTGCCTAAGCCAAGCATTACAAGTAACCCCCCCCCCCTTAAGTTTGCAACTTAAAAAGCACTCTTAGAACGAGAATCTTTTCTTTTAATGTTACTTCCCAGAGGATTACTGCTCAGAGCTGTAGGGATATCATCCCTACATATCCAAACATGCTTACCCATATTGGCTAAGAGCCCTGTAATGGCTTGTACATCTGCTCCTAGGTAGACATCGCTCAGTGTTGTTACAACAGGTAAACACATAGTGTGGACACGAATTCGTCTTTCACCTGTAAGAAAAGAAAACTGTTGTCTCCACACATAACTTTTGTTTTATGAAATGATAAAACAAACACCACTGATTACTCAATAGCAACAAAACCCTAAGATTTAATCTAATGTATCATACAAGTGGTGAAACAGGCCATTTCCAGTAGCTTTTAAATACAGCTAATTTTCAGTTTCTGGGTTACATTTGCCTATTTTCAGACCAGAACTAAGTTTTCCAGGAAACTTCTTGGTCTGGAAGAAGCAATAACATCACCAACATGCTGGAACACATCACAGCTGTGATCTTGATATTAGATAAAATAGTTTGTGTAAGTTACTGCAGCTGATAAATAGACACAAAGAGACTCATTTGAGTACTGTACTGCTGATGCAGCTAATGCTGCCTGTGTATCTTACCTTTGCTGGATGTGTACAGGAGAGCTGACTGAAAGGAAACAACCTGCATATCAGTAAGACTCTCTTCTACTGACATTTGCACAGCATATCCTGCATCTGGGTTCACGTTGGGTAATGACAACAAGTCTGTAGATCGTACGAAGAAGTTCCCATGGAAAGTGTGAATGGAGAGACCTACAAGATAAGCATTGTACTGAGTCAACTTATGTTCATAGTTGTGAAGTACAGACACCATTTAACACAGCTGCCATAGATGGCTCTGTAGCAGAATATAAAGATCCTTCTCAATGAACTAAAGTATCTTCAGGAAAGGTAAATATCCCAGACAAGACAACTAATCCATAGAATCCACAAAGCCTAGCAGAAAGCAGAAATTTGGAAGTCAAATCAATGCAGGATAGTATTAAGTCTCTAGACTACAAAAGAACTCCCTTGTTTAAACAGCAGTCCAACAAAATCTCCAGTTTTAACCACTGTAAAATGGAACCTGGATGCCAGTAAAGATGCTGCAAATGCAATTTTTAATAACTGGTCTGATTCCTGGTACTGAATCTTTTCTAATCTTTGTCTTTTAACCATTTAAGCTTACATAGTAGCTAACATTCCCCTCAACACTTTCCCAAATCACAGCAAACACCCGTTTCCCCTCTCCCCTCCCCAGTCCAAAAAAATTGTGTTCAAACCTTTGGTGCATCTTATCCTCATGACAGCCTCAAACCCAATCTTTCTAGTTAAATATCGTTTCAGTTCCTTTTGCAACTTCTCCACCTGGACAGGGTTGTGTTTATGGTGGTAAGACTGGTAGTAGTAGACACTACCTGCAGAATACCTCGATATACAACCTGAAACAAAACCAACACGCATTGGCAGAGTGCAGACAGTTGCTGCTGTGGTTTTTAAATATACCAGTTGAACGCATTATTCCCTTTAATTATTAAACTGTTCACACCCACAAATAGCTCTTACATGGTTACAGACCTACTTTCAAAGACAGGTGTAACACAACTATATGTATTTAAGGAGTTTCAGGTATGAAATAATTCTCCATTGACCTGAAATTACAGGTACTTTGTCACTTGAAAGTTGGGTTAAATGGAGAAAAGAAAAGAATTCAAATGCTAATGAAAGTTACTCTAAAGATGTTTGCACTGATGGTTCAAAGGCATAAAAGGAGGAAAGTATTTCAGCCACTTATACGAGGATCACAAGAATCCTGGCTCACTAAAGGAGAATATGAAAACAGCTAGGTTGAATCAGGAAAGATTGAAGGATTACATTCTATTCACTGTCACTGCTCATCAAGGATTAATTTGCATCTTATCACATTAGATTAATTCAAATCAGGTTCATGTACTAAATATTAATGTAGACGCTATGTATTTGCCAAAAGTACAAGAGTTACACACCCCAGAACAGCTTAATATTACTCACCTAGAGAAGCCAAGTCCGAATATTGTCCACTAAGAAGAAATAGATCCACTGCAACCTGTTGCCCTGAGCAGTCCAAGGCTAACTTCTTGTAAAAGTCAGTCGATGGTGTCAGATGTATGTCCTGTTAATACAGTGGAGTATTACAAAATTCAAAGGAAATGCAAACAGATTAACACGTTTATTGCCTCTTTTCAGGGACACTAATAATTGATTCTCCATCACTGTTTCCAGTGATATCATGAAAAAAAATATCCAATCATTAACCCATGCTTACAGTGCTTGGGTTTGGTTATTTTTGTTCTTTCCACTTCTTTAACAAAGGAAGGTTAGCACAAACAGAGAACCACAACATTAACCCAGAACAGGCAATTCCAGAACCACCTACACGTACAGAAGAGGGCAATCATTCCTCAACCTTTTTGCTTTCCTCACCTTTGCAGTTGCTCTTTGGTTTGGCTCTTCTCGTGACTTCAGCGCTCCCATTCCCACAGATGGAAGCTGTGTCTGGAAGACAGAGATTCTACCTCCGGTGGGGGACATCAGTTTAAAGGCAGCCTGTAATGCAGGCCCCAGGGCACTGTGAGTTTCCAGGGACTTCGTAAACATCTGTGGCAAGGCCTTCAACAGATCTTGAATTAGCTACAATTGAGAAGACAAAAGTATTAATAGCAGGAGCCTTTGGAGTTTTCTTCTTTATAGAGCTGATTGCTGGACGTGCATCAACATGCATTAACACATCTAATATTAAGGTAGTGAAGAAAAAGCCCTAGCAGAATTCAAGTACTGTCTTGTCTCACGGTGGCAAAAGTTTACAGTCACACAGATAAAAAACCTCTTCCTTCCACCTCAAACTTTGCATTTAAACTGTAGGTGTTATAGTGCATTAAGTAACACAGAAATTTCCAAGCATATCCCAAACTATGTGAAAGTCACTAGTTAGTTAAGTTAGTTCTTACCTCTTTGTTTTCATTTAAATTTACTAGTAAGTTTTCTGGCATTGGTATAAATACATCTGGAAGGGAAACAAACAAAACTATTTAAGTTACTTTTTAAAAACACATCAAACTTCCCCCAAATGTATTTGGCAACCATTACACCTATTGAAGAAAGAATACAGTATCAGTGTGTAAACCCATTTACACATCATTAGGTAGATTTCTTCTTTTCCCATAGGGAATATCTAACCCTATTAGATTAGCAATCGACAGGACTGAAGGATAATCAAGATTATTATGTAAAAATGCACAGCAAAGACTTCCTAGTGTTCATTCTGCCTTGCCCTGTAACACACAGTGAAAAGTGACTTGAAGGTAAAGGCAGAAGAACAAGTACTAAGCATCAGTCACCACAGAATCTATAGTTATTTACCAAGCACCAGGATTTGGGATCACAAGAGAAATCCACATAACTGTACCCATTAAAGTGGAGGTTAGAAGGCTGTCTTCAATGTTTTAATTCATGAACAGCCACAGCATTCTCACACATCAGGGGCTTCATAAACACACAGACATACACTACTTGTAAAACCATTACTGGCAAGACTCACGAGCTGGTCTATAAGCTTCCACCAGGTGTATTTTTTTAAAGGCTAAGTCAAACCCAGCAGCTTTAGTAGATACAAATCACAGGATTTATTTCTGCATACCTTCAATATCTGAAACTATAAGCATCTGAGGCTGAGAGAGACCTTCCTGAAGACTGTAGAAATGGATTGTGCTGTCAAACGTTATGAAGCCTATTTTTGTTCTAGTGTTCCCAGGAAGCCTGAAAATGAGACATATGGTGTTCAGGAAGATGGAATTTCATTTCTGCAGGCTTGTTTTTTTTTTTAAGCCATGCACTGCACCTCTCCGTGGTTGTTACCAAGTAGTTAGCTTTACAGCTGACTGCAACAGCTTGGCTCAGTCAGTTGGGAGCAGAAAAGGAGCTCATAGCAGAGTTGCCTAGCACACACTTAAGGATTTTTTAAGAGGGTAATAAGAAATGGAAGAAAAGGAAGAAACAAGCTGCAAAATACCAAGCAGCATTTAGATGAGTTCAAACAGCATGTATTTTATTAAAAATGTAGTAGATGTATGCATTCCTTTCAGCAGATCCTTACCTACATTTTTGCTTCTAAAAAATACATTCTAAAGGCGTCATAAACATGCTATTTGTTCCTTTTGGGGATTGGTGAAGCAAATAGGAAAGAGCCAGATTGAGTAACAAGCCTCAAAATTACCTTTTATACCAGTGCCGCTGTGATGGGAAAAAGACTACAGCTTTACCCTATGTTTTAATATAACACTGGCCATTGCTAGCCAATGCTAGGACATTTCTCTCCTACACAGGCAGTACTGGCACATTGGTGCCTACCACACATTTCATAAGAGGATCAAAAATAGTAGATTCCAAGATACTTACAAGTCAAGATTGTCTAACAACGTCTGGCAGACTGTATTCAAGTATCCTGTCTCTATTGCATTATGAGAGACATCGAACACAAAGAGGTACACGGGTGGTTGAGGTGGACGTAGCTGAGGAAAGAAAAGGTTACCTTCAGTTTGCAAGCTTACATTTATTAGATGGGGTTTATTCATTCCACTACAAGTTTAAACTCTTAAAACAGTGCACAGATGACAGCTACACCTTCTGAATGCATTTGTCGCTTACTGGGTAATCTAGAAGCACAATTTTCTTCCAGAAAACCCCAAAACACCTACATTCTAAATACAGAAGAACTTTGACATCGTAATTGTTTAGAAATGAAGAACTATCTGAAGTTCTTCCCAAGAGTTCTCAGATACACTCCTTGAGGCTGGAACTGTTCTACGGAGCTGGAAAGCATTCCCAATAACAAGGCTCTTTCTGACTTCCCTCTGGAAATAAAACAACTAAAAGTAAATAAAGCCTTACCATGTATTCGGATGGAGCCATAAACTCAATAGTAGCATTCTGGACTTCAGGTCTTTTATGAGGTTCTCCATAAACTCTTGTCACAGGATTATACATGAATTCTTCAGGAACTATGCAGATAAGGTTAGATATTATTACTTCACGCTAGTATTAGCTGGGCTGCATTTTAAACCAAAGACATCAACTCTTCTGTGCCTGCTGGGCAATGCTTCTTGGAGAACTATGCTAGGCAGGGCAGCTACTTTGTCACCTGCTAGGGTGGGAAACCACATCACACTTACTGTGCTTCATCAGTGACACCCTGTCTTTGCCCATGGGAAACACTTCTCATGCCTCACAGCCTCAGTGTGACTGACAACAACCCCTCATACTCATGGCCAACAATATGACAGTCTCAAAGGCCAAGGTGAGCAAGGCTGACCTTAACCATTCAAAGCAACAAGCACATTTAATACCTACCATCATTCACTCTATAGCACAGATTGCATTTCCACCTCCTTTGGTCTAGAAAGCTGACAAAAGGGTTAATGTATGTCCGGCAGGAACGGCATCTCACAATAGTACTTGAAGTGACCACTGGCAATTGCTGGAAAAGAAAAGCTTCCTGTTTTAAGGCATTACCACACTGCAGCTATTCATCTATGATTACATTATCTACACTGTGCTTCTTGCTTAGCTAGTCAAAGCAGACTTGTTGAAGAAAGAAGGATTTCTGCAACCTCACAGCACCCCTACAATTCCTCAATAAGATGACTGGCTGGAACTGAGCTCTAACCTATTCAACTGTGCAACTTCTCAAGCCTCTCGAGTCTTGAGTTTTACACTGATGGCTTAAGACCAAGTCCTACACCCAATACAGAACAAAAAAAATCAGAAAAAATATCCCACATAACTGAAAAATCATTTAAATCGTGGAAAATAACAATGTTTAAGAGAGACCTTGCTAAATTCACGAAGTCTCCTGGCTATGTGAGGACATCCAAACCCCTTTCACTCTGTTAATTCTTAATTAACCTTAGAATTAGTGCTAGGTTTGGTACAGGAAATCAATAACTACAACTGCTATGTGACAAGATAAAGCTATCTAAGCCATTAGATGTGCTGCCTTGTGTCACAGTCCTAGTGTTGTGCTGGCTCTAAGCTGCTGGGTTTTTTTTGATTAAGAAGTGAGGCTTGAAAGGTTAAAAATGGTAGGGAGAAAAAATTAAGAAACATTACAATGATCTGCCTGGAGCAGGGAAATGTCAGTTGCCAAGGGAATTTTTCTGCTCTTCTTTTATAGTTCAGTGTCCAGCTCTGGACTCTAGGGAAGGCACAGTTGAGATTTCAGCATTTAAAGGTTTGAATATTTGTCATACCGATAAGTCTTTGAAAGGATGAAGCAGGAGCCCCAGAGGAAGTTTGGCTTTATTCAGTAAGGCCTGAGTTTGAGGAATGTTAGTCAGGGTACAGCGGAACAACCTACATGGAGGACAAAGGGTTATTTTCAGAGGCTTTCAGATAATAAAAAATGATGATTTCAGTAGTACAGAGCATCCTTTATAGTTTTCTAGAGCTGGTAATGGTGAATTTCCATTTCCAGATACAGGATCTTCTCCAGCTCTGTCAAATCATTCTGGTTTAGTCTTAGCTTGACCCACAGGATGTGCTTTTGAGTTCTTAGTTTATACACACACTCTCTAAACAAAACTAAATGTCAGTCATTCAAGTCAAAGTTAAGCCTAACAATGTTCAAAGTTACACCAAGCCCTTATATACCATGTTAATTTGGGATACCATTCTGAGGTGTCCTTATACACAAATCTGAACCCGTGAAGTTTAAAAAGTTGTCTTAAAACTTAACGACTATAAGCAGAGACTTCAGAACTCAGTGGTTTCCACAAGCGCAGATGTGCACAGCACTTTTGCAACTCCAGTTCAGCTTGTTTGTATGAGCAACTTCACAAAGTTGCTGTTATTTCCTTTATCTATCATAAAAAGCCTTGCAAAGCAGGAGTACCTGGTTATACACAGCTTGGCTGGCCTCCTCAGAGAGATGACTTGAATAAGCAACTGCCACCCTCTTGTTTGACATTCCATTTACTCCATTGTTTAAAAGGTTACTATCAATACAGAGGTCACTCATGTTTCTGCATTGTCAATCTTGTTGGTGTACCTCACTCAGGTGAGTTAACTCCTATTTTATATCTTTTCTGAGTTATGCTCATTGCCAGCTATATTGTAAAGTTTTTGTACTGTACCAATCTATCACTGCCTTGCAAAAAACATTTTAACTCATACCTTCTCCACACAATGCTCAGTTTAAACCATTTCCCACCTTCATCTTAACACAGCAAAGCCCATTTTCAGTGTTTTCTACTTGAAGAGCTATGTTTACCAATAGGAATTTGATGAATTATAGCAAATGGATGATCTTACTCAGGATTACAGTTGAGCTTCTGGATGTCCTCATGCAAGTTTGGGACTGGAGCCTTCAAGAGGGTTGTAGGAAGAATATTTCTTTCTTGAAGAAGATTCACAGGTCTTAATCCTTCTTGCTGTAGACTCAGGGCACCCATAGATGCGCTTAAGTGATTAGTGCCCAGGGCAGGCTAGAGTCAAATAGAATTCCAGAAATTAACACCAGTTATTTAAATCATGGAATAGTTTGTGTTGGGACCTTAAAGCTCCTCCAGCTCCAACCCCTGCCCCGGGCAGGGACACCTTCCACTAGAGCAGGTTGCTCCAAACCCCTGCATCCAACCTGGCCTTGAACACTGCCAGGGATGGGGCAGCCACAGCTTCTCTGGGCACCCTGTGCCAGCGCCTCAGCACCCTCACAGGGAATAACTTGAGATCTCAGCTCAATCTCTGCCCTGGCAGTTTAAAGCCACTCCCCCTTGTCCTATCACTATATGCCCTTGTAAAAAGTCCCTCTCCAGACTTTTTGTCAGCCCCTTTAGGTATTGGAAGACTGTTGTTAGGTCTCCACAGAGCCTTCTCTTCTCCAGGCTGAACAAGCCCAGTGAACGAAGCCCACAGTCAATTTAAATAGCAAACTTATTTCCCTTTCTTATTTTTGTCTCTTTTGTTTCCATATTAACTGCCATTATATTACAATGATGTAAACAGTGTTTGTTACATAAACTTGGCATTTAACACAGTGGAGGTAAAAATCAACATAGAGTTGCTACAAGCTCTGGAACTTCAGAGGCTCAGCTGGTCAGTTCACTTCGAAAGTTCAGGAAAAGCCCAAATACTTCAGCTAACACTGGCAACCCAAGGGAGGAAAACCATGCCAAAAGCAGCTGAATATTTTTGAGAGAAACACTCTGAACAGATTCAAGGATAGAACACTTCAGAAGGAGCTGGCACACAGCTTTTCCAAACTGGTGCCAAGGCATCAGCAAAAGCACTTCTTTTGGGCTGCGTCTGTCATCTTGAACAACCAGCACCCCACAGATGCACAACACACACCAATTGCCACCTTTTCTTCACGCCACTGGTAGTACCAAGATGAAAACCAGACAACCTTTACCTGGTGGAAATGTTTTGATCCATCTGGATACTGCAAAGCAGATGCCTGCATTCCTGGTGCTCCGGGTGCAGAAGTATTTTGGTAGCCTGGAGGTAAGGCAGGGTAAGAATACCCAACACTTCTGTTCATCTTAACATTTGGGGGTGCAGGAGAAGGATGTGGAGTTGCTAGAGGCAGAGCAGATAAATACTTAAGATCAATTGCTGAAAAACCACAGCTTGCTCAATTCTTTAATACAGCAGAAGGGCTTTTGGTGGTGTTTACTTTCTAAGTGGAAACAACTACCACTGCTGTCAGTTTTGCAAGGTGCTCTTTACTGCTTTTCCATACTTACAGGAGAAGATGTGGTACTTGTCAAAGCTTGAAATTTCATATTTAGTTTCAAGACAGACATGGAACCAAGTACATGTGTTTGTACATAAATGCCTAAACTCCTATCTTTCACAGGCTCTTAAACGTTACGTAGTAGTAACTATTTTTACTCCCAAAGCCTTACCTGTGAGGCCACCACCTTCCAGTGCATCGTAGCTGTTCTGCACCGCAGCCCCATCGCTGGCAGCAGATGTAGCATCACCTATTAAAGACAATCCCAGTAAAAATTTTCACAAGCTACTAATTGTTCTGAGGTAACTGCAGTGAAATCCTACTTGCTGGATGAATATTAAGACTAGGATTAGTTTGGATCTACTTTGCTTCTGCCCCAGGACAAAACTGTATTAAACATACATCTTGCCCTCTTCCTCACACACACTTCCTCTGGTGACGTGACCTCAACAGAGGACTTCCATAAAACACCACAATCTTTCTTTAAGGAGAACAAAAGTCCCTGTATCTCTGGTTGAATGATCTTTTAAGATTACTTCAGGTGAGGTATTCACTGTAACTTCCAAGCTGATACACTTGCCTGGGGACAGGGGACACTTCCTCCTCATCAGAGGAAGTGTCAGTAGGCTTGCTGCAGTTTTCAAAGGACCCTGGAATTCAGGTGCCAAGTTCCCTTAAGAGATTTTCCCTCTGATAATTCACAGGAACACCAAATTCCCTTCACTTACACGCTTAGTCCAGTACTGCTCACAGCAAACACCAACAGTTCTGATATGGTCACGTACCGGTCAAGATACAAATTCCAGCAGAGATAAGAAAAACCTTGAAATGGAGGGAATGCTCCCAAAGGACAGCTATTTGTAAGTTAGCTATGCCTAAATATATGAAAACAACTACCTATTGCTAAGGAGAAGCAGGTACTCAATTTTTATTATCATTGAAATCTTCAAACATGCCCCAATGAAAGGAACTTATATTAAACATTGAATCTTGCTAGTATGCACCAGTCAACCTACTTCACAGACTAAACATTTCTATCTCCCGAGGGCCTTGGAAATGTTTCTTTTCATTATGAAGAAAAGACTTTCTAACCAAAGCAGTTTCTAACGCATCTCATATGTTCAAAACTAAGCTAAATCTGAACATACTATTCTTGTACTCACACAGCCACCACATACAAGAAAGTGTCAATCTGAACATGCAAAGAACCAACAGCTTTGACAGAACAAACTATGTATGTAAAAATAAAACTGCCAACTACCACATGGCCCATCTTAGGGCACTAAATGCAAGGCAACTGCAGGCCTTTTTGATACAGAGCTCTTACACAATGGTGTATTTGTGCAGGGCCCACAGCAAACAGAGAAAAGTCAGATACATGTCTTCAACAGCTGACACTTTACAGCCTCTAGTAACTACCTTCCAAAAATGAACCAATCCAAGATATGTGCTTCAGTGATTTTACACAGAAGAGAAGAATCAGGTACAACTACAAGGAATTGCAGGATCCATGTTTTAGCTCTCCTTGCAGAATAAAATGATACAGGAAGCTATACACAGATAAAATTACACTGTATTAGTATCAATTTTACTACCTGAGTCTCTAATAGAACAGTGTGGTTGACTTCAAAGGTTGCACACTAGAGCAAGTTGCTATGTCCAAATTCAACAAAGAGCACATTATTTCTTACCTTCTCGACTTGCAGCTGAGTTTAGCAGCGACTGTGTATTAGGAGGTCCTGCTGCCAGTGCTGATGGCCTAATTAAAGGTGGGCCACCAACTGGTGGAGGTCCTAAGGGTGGCCTTGAAGGCGGGTGGAGTGGAGTTAAAGGCTGAGTCACTGGTGCAGGGGCAGGTCCTGTAAAGAGATTCATTTTTAGGAAGAGTTTAACCCACATGAGGAAGTCATAGAAGCTTTGTTACCAAAACACAGACTGAACTCTAGATACGCTTCTTATTCATATGATAAACCGCACGAGATACATGAATCCTGATATGCATGGAGAAGGTTTCACAACTTCAGATTGTTTCTGTCACACTTTTCACATACTGGGTTCCTGTAGCTATTATCCATGATCTCTTTCAGCTTTTTGTTGCTGTTAAGAACTTCAGAGTTAGAGAGAGCATCCCAATTCTATTACTAAGGCTAGACTTTATAAAGTTATAGTACAGCCCCATACGAACAAATCAACAAGGGTCTAAAACCAGATTCCTTTTGACAGGATGCTCATCTTCCACTTCAATAATCCGATACAAAACAGCAACGTCCACATTCTATAGTTCCTCAAATTACTTGGGAAAAAGATTTCACTTGGGAAAGCGTCAGCAATTTGCAGTTTGAATAACCATGCTGTGTGAGTGTGAGGTGTTTTGCTCTGGAATGTTTAACCTCCATGATAAAAGTCACAGGAAAGTTTTTAATTGCTTCTATTTTAAAATTCTAGGCCTTTCTCCAGCCAAGACGTTTAGAAACCCAATTGCTTTTCCTCCCTTCAAGCAATACCAAACCCTAAAAGCGCTTCCACCCCTTTGTTCCCTTTTATTCCAGAGGCCAGTTTAACTGCCCTTTAACTCCAGGAAGGCACCAATGTGTTTTAATATAAAAGTTAGCCTTTCAAAAGATAAGGCCAAATTGTCCAGTGTTGCCACGTCTCAACGTGGTACAGAAGCTCATAAGCTCAACAGGATCAAAAAGCCACCACACAAAATATGCAACTTCATGAGCCTGCACAGTATGAAGGATTTAAGGAAGAAGGGAAAGAATAAAAGGAAGGGGGTGTGTGTGGAAAAAATCATATCCAGTGATCTGTTTGTTCATTTGTATGTGATACTGCAAAGCTAATTAATAATGGCTACATGCAGGCAACACTATCACAGAACTTGGAAGAGATTCTGCATCTAAGAGGCTGCCCATAGTTGGCCGTGCAGGCAGGGAGCTGGCAGACCTTTGTGCTGAGAATGAGTGTGATCACCAAACGAGCTAAACTCCTTCTAAAAGTTATCATTGCTCTACAAAAACCTGCCAGGGGAGTTGCTCGGGAGGATTCCCCATCGAATGGATATAGAAATTCTCTCATTCCAAACACTTGCTCACATTTCAAATGCCACTTCCCAGCGTTTTCCTCACTAACTGCAAAGTACTAATTGTTTGTGCCAATAAACTGCTAGCAGCAGTTTCATAAACTCTGTGAGCGTAAGATAGTTTGAACGTCATAACAGAATGAGTCAGGCCTGGAACACAGAACTAGCATCAAGGAAAAGCTCTAGTGAGGCTAAACCACAAGAAAAAAATATTTGCTTGAACATCTAAAATATTTCTGTGTCTAACTCCTGTTTGCAGGCTCAGTTAGAAATCCTCTGCAACAACAAACAGCAGCTTAGAAAGAGAAACCCCAGTATCGACTGTGTTTCCACAATAATCACAACTTGCACAACGGAGCTGGTTAGTGTTAGGAAAGCTGCTCACCACTTCATAGAGCAGCCCAGGAGCAGCAGGAAGGGAAGTCTCACACTTTCAGAGGTCTTTCTAAAGACTGACCATTATTATTAGTTAGTGAGAATCACAGGTTTGGAGGAAGGAAGCTTCCCATTGAACTGGGCTCTATTTCAGTGGCACAGAATTGCTTTTCAGTTTTCCTTCCAGGCTGTGCTCAGGCTGTTTGCATCAACCTGACTGAGGCTGTTGAGAGAACTCTCTCAATCAAGTGATTAACAGAAAGGCCAACAAGTTTTAAACTGCAAAAGACCACACTCACTGAACAGGACCACAGTGTTCAACCAGGAAGTCCTCAAGTCCCCACTCGACTGAAGCATGCACCCCACGGAACGGTGAAGGTCACAAAAACAGCATTACCCACTCACAGCCTCCCAAAACCATGAGACCATTCAGGAGTTACCTGCTGCAGCCAACTGAAATGCATGACCTGTACACAGAACCTCCATTTCTAATCCAAAGGAAACCACCCCTGTATCTGTGATGTGTGTTTGCTCAAAATGCTCTGCTTTGACAACCTCATTCCACAGGCAAAATGTTGCTGTGGGGTCAATTCTTCTTTTAAAAGGACACTGAGAAAGGGACATTGGTCAAATACCAGAAGGTTATGGTTACCTGGCTTCATGTAGCTGTTCTGAAGCGGGGGACCTCCTGGAGAAGCAGCATATTGATAACTTCCTGGAGGATTTGTATTTCCTGATAATGATAACGGTGGCTGAGGTGACCCTGTCCCCGTCACATGAGCCAAATGGCTTGTTTGAGACCCAGGGGGCTGGCCTGTGGGAGCCTGGCTGTACTGCCAGTTTGAAAGCACTGGTGGGGTAGCTCCCGGAGGAAAGCTACCAGCAGATGATACAGCAGCTGAGTTTTGCAATGGAGGCAGCAGCACTTGTGGAGCAGGACCTGTCTGTTGTACTGGTGACCCGGAGAAAGGTGCCACTGGTGGTCTGTTGAGAGTCTGCCCAGGTCCTTGGTAACTGTTTAATTGAGAAACATTCTGAGAGCCACTATAGTTATACTGTCCCAAAGATGGATGCGGAGGAACCTTCGCCGGTGTCTGATGGGAATACGATCCTGGAACTGAAGGGCTGTATCCCTGGCCATCCGGTGAATGCATCAGCTGATTCTGAACAGGACCTGGAAGAGAACAAACTACAAACCCTTTAGAGAGTCAGTGTTGGGTGTCGCTTCTGAAAATAAGAGTTGATCCCGGGAATCTCTTTCCTGGGGATTTTATTAGTCTCCAAGCCATTTTTATGTTGGATTTTTTTAACAATCAGGTGTGACACTGCTTCAGGGGACATGAATTTGGTAGTATTTTGCTATCAATGCTTAGATCAGTGTTTTGCTTTACAGTAGCCTCACAATCACTCAGCATTCCAGTGCCTGGGCACAATCCCTCCTCCTGGACTAAAACTCACACACGGTACTATTTCTATCCTCAGGAACACCCAAACCCAAGCCTACCAAAGAGGAGAGCTCTCCCACACAGCTGGCAGCAGTACAGGCGAGCAGACCGAAAGCAGAAGCATCCATTGCATCACAACTGTTTCACTTGACGAATGACACCAACTTAAACTTCAGCTTACCACAAAGACACGAAGAGCCAGTTTCAGCATAGGTCACCAGGGTGCAGCTCAAGTGACAGAGGTAATCTATGGAAGTTTCTGCAGTTAATTTTAGTAAGAGAACTAACTATTCATACACATGCCGCCCATGTGAGCAGCCAGCTGGTCAGGAACATGGAACAAAGGGTAGTTTCATCATTAAATAAATCACCAATCAGGAAAAAATGGTGCTTTATGTATTTGTGGGTTGGTAGAGCTGAACTAAGTCTTAATCATTTGAAGAAAACATTGAAAAAAGGTTAGCAACTGTCCAAACGGTAAACAAGAGCATCATCAGATTTCTGCTTCACCCAGAAACAGAAAGAGACAGAATACCATGAGATTTCCAGCATGACAAGGGCTCCATCAAGAAAATCACTGCTACAGGTTGTTCATAACACTGACACAAAACGCACATTCTGAAGGGAGGCTATGCATTTTCAAGAGAAATCCTTAGCAGAATACACCAGATAACACATGCCACAGCCAGCCACGACTCCCTGAAAAGTACTAAAACACTTTCCAGTGTTGGATCACTTATTGTAGCCAGTCACACCGGGGCTCCCCTCACCCCCTGAGCACACAGTCTGGATACCAGAGACATTCCACATACACAGTTAAACATCTGAAAGCAGAGAAGATCCTCTTCATGGTTTAGAGATACAATTCTTTTCTTTGCCACCCTGTACTATTTTCCAGGGTGCCCAGAGAAGCTGTGGCTGCCCCATCCCTGGCAGTGTTCAAGGCCAGGTTGGACACAGGGGCTTGGAGCAACCTGCTCTAGTGGAAGGTGTCCCTGCCCGTGGCAGGGGGTTGGGACTGGGTGACCCTTAAGGTCCCTTCCAACACCAACCACTCTACAATTCTATGATATATATTTATCTTATATATTTACCATATGAGTACTGAGAACAGCTGCCACCAGAATGAATTCATTGAACTTCATTTAACTTTAAAACAAAGACAACTGGTTCCCTACTGAAACATTCTAGTTACGTTTCAAAAGGTGTGAAAGTTCACATTTCCAAAGGAAAGTAACTCTGAACTTGGGCACTTCTGACAATAACTAAAACTAACCACAGCATACATCGAAATACTTCACTAGGACAAACACAGCATTGGTCATTCAGCTCCTAATTTCCTAGAAAGCCTTAGGCTGTGGGCCACAAACAGCTGTTACTGCACTGAATATCACAGCTATCCACACTCACTACATTGCCAAAGCGGACGTACAGTGATCTCATCCCCACTGCCTCTGTTATTTGTGTGTAAAACAGTCCACACCATATTATTCTCCACTCATTAATCTCAATATGTCACTTACCATTCACAGTTAGGTGATCCAGTTATACCCAACTGCCCTTATAACACTGCTTGTAAATCTTAGTAATTAATAATTCCCTAAAATCAATGGTGTCTAAACAAAAAGCTTGCAGACAAAAACGCTAACAATTGATCCACCTTCCAAAACTGCCCTGCATTGTACCAGATGGTTTCAACAATCGATTTGCAATGCCCATTGTAAATGAAAACTTGCTAACCCTAAGAATGAAGAATTCCTATGTGATGCCATGCCTCCTGACTGCAGCAGCATGTACATTGATATAAGATTACTATAAGCTCTAAGAAAAATACACAACAAATACAAATTAAGGTCATAACTTGATTGTTCACCTTCAAGCATGACTCTCTAGCCCAGGCAGGAATCGGTGTACTTGCACTGCTGTCTTATGCACTGTTTTCCCTGCTTGAGGGATAAGTTTGAGGACAAAGCAAGGGAAGTGAGGTGAAATCCAAAACTGACTTATTTTCTATGCTTTAAATATCAAATCCACCACAGCACAATGTTCCAAATTCCAATTTTTAATGTCAGAAGCTCAACAAAAAGTCTTGATAGCCTGCGTGCAGTTCATGTTTCCAAAACAATTCTGCATAAAGCTGCCAACAAAACTAAAGCAGCAGCACTGAGAAGCACAAACCCTCTCCAAGGGGCTTCACAGTGCACAACAACATCACAGGACTTGCCGATTTGCTGCTGGCAGGTACCCATCTTGCCCTGGCCTCTTCAGTCAGAGAACATACAGGCTCTTCAGCTTTCCCCAAATGCTGCTGCTGGTTTTCTGTGCTGTTCTGTGAAGCCAAAACCCAACCAGGAATTCAGTGTTGACTGGAGCTGGATACCGGCATGGACACCAGCAAAACAACTGACACTCGGAGACCAGAGATGAGTTAGTAATAGAAGAAAGGCCATGGAATTAACAGCAGAAGATGCCTCCACAGGAGCACAAGGTCATTTAATGTTTCTAGGAGACCAGGAATGGCACCAGAATGCATTTGAAGGTTGCCTGATGTCTTTATAAAATGAGGGGTCAAACTATTAGCAAGGGAGGCTGGGATTCATGTTGTATTTACTGCCACAGTGTCACTTCCTCCAAGCCAGTTCTTTAGTATCTCACCAGCCACAACCTCTCCAACCTCCAGGGAGATGGAAGGATAAAACAGACAGAAAAGCTACATCCCAACTGAACTGCCACGGGATCTGCCACCACCAGCACCCACTTCAGCTGACCCTGACCCACTTGCTTTCCAACCCAACAGCTCCTGAAGCATCTCTGACCTTGAAGTGCCATGAAGTGAGGAGAGGAAAAGAGTCCCTAAAATAATTGTTTCTCCTTCTTGTTTGCGCTTCAGGTCTGTTAACTGGAGAGCAAATTAGTAACCTTCAGTTAAACAAATACAGAATAGTGGTCCTATTAAAAGAAACCACGGATGAAATAGAGGAAGGCTGCTGCTAAGCAACCCAATGCTCCGTGCTGAACTATTTCCCAGTCAGCACACGGTGCTGCTGTGACAATTTACTGCCTTCACAGACACGCGAGCTCAGGGAGGCACCTGCACGCAGTAAAGCGAGCAGCAAGTGGAAGGGAAGAGCTGACAGCTGTAGAACGATTCATCATCCTGCTGACAGCTCCCTGCGAGTGCCCCCAGAGCACTCTCAGTACCCTCCAGACTGTTATAAAAAGCTTTGTTTTTACTGTAAAGGTCAAGGATGGCAGCACCTCCTCAACGTGTGTTTTAAACAATGCTAAGAACAGTCTATGCTTGAATAATCTCATTTATTCAAAAGCCAGCAACCCAAATCTTCTCTCTCACACACCACCACAACAGCTTAATTTTATTCTGTTGTATTTGCCTAACTCTGAATTTCAGTTCTTTATTTTTCATACACCTGACGGCCGGGCAGCCTGAAATTCCTCCTCCTCCAACTGCCTCTCCAGAACTTCCATTATGTGCTTAATCCAACTACAGGGAAATCAGCAAACATAAAGCAATGTCAGTCAGAAAATCATCCTACTTCATTACTCCATTTTACTCTGTGCTTTGTACACTCTCCACGTAGACAAGAAGCTCTCCAGAAAAGAGGCTCTCTCCAGCCTGTGCTCATACACTTCCCACTTTCCTGACCCCATACACCACGACACAACTCTTTGTGGAATGTCATTCTGCAGATGACTTTGATGAAAACAAGCTGCAAAGGAGGAGGGGGAAGGCAACTCAAAGCCTTTAATTACTCATGCACAAGGCAGAAAAATCAGAAGATCTCATTAGAACTGAATTGCTTATGATGCAGCCCAGCTACTCAAATGCAGACGTGTGTAATTAAGGAGCCAAGGACAGAGAATGCTGGCTGGGTATGGGAAATCAGGAAACACTTCCAACAGCACTGATTTCCACACAGGCACAGAAGACAGATACGGAAACAAGGCTTGCCCTGTGCTTCTTTGCTCCTGGCTTTAAAAGCTGGATTGTGAGTAGTTCAGTGTCACCTTCAAAAGATGTATTTTGAGGGGAAGAAACTTCAGTATCTCATTTTAAAAATCACCACAGAACTCCAGCTTGGAAGGGACCTCAGGGAGCATCTGGTCCAACCTTCCTGTGCAAAACATGACCTAGACCAGATGTCCCAGGGCCCTGTCCAGCCAAACCTTAACAGTGTCCAACACTGGGGAAACCACCACTTCCTTAGGGAGATTACTCCAATGGCTGGTTGTTCTCGTGGGGAAATTCCTTCCTGTAATGTCCAAGCGGAATCTCCCCAGGAGTAACTTGTGCCTCTCACCCCTCATCTTTTCCATTGTAAAGATATACTTTGAGGACAAGACAGTGGTCAAAGACTTTCCTGGGTCGCAGCTCGCTCATGGAACAGGATGATATCGGTCCTACACCACCGACAAGACAGACCTCGGCTGCGCCGCGCCCAGTGATAACCACAGTGCCACATGTACAGCTCCGTTCCAAAGGGCCCGAGGCTGTGGCCCCGGCTGTGTCACGGCCTCCAGGAGCGCCCGGTGCGGCCCGTCACCGGCTCGCCTCGGCTCTCCAAAAGGCGCTTCTGCCGGTTCACACGCGGAAATAGACCGGGGGGTGCCTCTGTCCCGACAACCGACCGGGACGGGGCTTCACTCTGCCCGGCAGAGC